GCCCCGCCCCGCGCCTCCCGCCAGGGTGCGGCCGCGGCCGCGCACTCACCGCCTCCAGCTGCCGGACGCCCGGCGTTCGTGCCTCGAGTCCCCGCGCGGGCAGCTGACAGGGAGAACAGGCAGAGGCCGAGCGGCCCTGAACGGCGGAGCGGCCCTGAACGCCAGAGCGGAAGACAGTGGACCCCGTGAGGGACTCTTAGAGCGCGCTCGGGAGACAAAGGCCCAGCGCGAAAGCCCGCCCTTTCCGCTCTGGCGGCGGGCGTCATTGGGCCGTTCTCTACCTCTGATTGGACAGGGCTCCAGGCCCCACCCCCACAGGCCCTGACTGACAGGAGATGGCTTAGCCCGGGTTGAGTGGAACCACCGGGGACAAGGTTTCTGCTTCAGGTGTTTCTTTTCTTGCCTCGCTGAGCATCAAATCCAGGCCCGGTGGCTGAGGTTGCGTTTGAGGCAAGAATTCGTACACGTTGGAAAACTTAGCACAGCCATGGGGACGCTTGCATTTGACTTTTATTTAAGGTCATATCAGACCCAGGCAGGTTGGAGGACGCCCCAAACCCCAGCACTCTGGGGTGCTGAGGCTGGAGGATCCCAAGGTGAACGCAACGCGCGCAATTTGGCGCCTTAGCGTAGTCTAAGGTATTGTCTCACAATAAAACCAAAAGTGTTGTTCAGGTAACTTCGTGCTAAGGCCCTGGATTTTATCACTGATACCACAAAATCTCTTATCAATGAATTGATTACTTATGTGTGTGTATTCCTCACAAATGGAAAGAATATAGGGGTGATTATTTTTAAATTGCACTTGTCTGTGGTCTTGGGAGGAAGAAGGTTGACATTTGAAATAAGACCTCCCCCAAAAAAGAGAGAGATGCAGTCCCCTAAATCAGCAATATCCAAGACAAACTGTGAGACAAAAGTGTAATTTTTTTATTAGTTACCACTCGCATTTTAAAACATTAACAAGTCAGGCATGGTGATGCATGCCAGAACCTGAGATAAAAGAATCACAACCTCTAGCTTGGCCTGGGCAACTTAGTGACTTGGTGAAACTCTGTCTTAAAAATAAAGAGACTGGGAGTGTAGCTTAGTGTGAAGGTTGTGTGTTCCATACTCAGTACATAGGTACATTCATACATACAAGATGTATTAAGACACAGGTGAAAATGTTACTGGCTTTTGAAGTGGTGGAGTCACCTTCTGGAGATGGTTTCTAGCTAGAGCAGTTAGGCAAGAGAGAGAAAACAGAGGAATAAGGAAAGGAAAAGAACAAGTGAAATTATCATTATTCACAGATGACGTGATACTCTACATAGAAGACCCCAAAAACTCCACCAAGAGGCTTATAGATTTAATAACCAAATTTAGCAACATAGCTGGATACAAAATCAACACTCAAAAATCAATAGCATTCCTGTACATAAACAACAAGCAGATTGAGACAGAAATCAGTGAAACCACACCTTTCATAGTAGCATCTAAAAAATGGAATACATAGGAATCAATCTAACAAAAGAAGTAAAAGATCTATATAGTGAAAATTACAGGACTCAAAAAAGAGATTGAAGAGTGTTTCAGAAAATGGAAAGATATTCCTAGCACATGGATAGGAAGAACCAACATTGTGAAAATGGCCATACTCCCAAAATTTTTGTACAGATTCAATGCAATCCTCATTAAAATTCTATTAGTATACCTCACAGACCTAGAGAAAACATTCCCAGAATTCGTCTGGAACCAGAACAGGCCTAGAATAGCAAAAGCAATCCTGAGAAACAAAGGAAAGACAGGCGGCATTACAATCTCTGACTTGAAACTACTACAAAGCTACTGTGATAAAATCAGCATGGTACTGGCACATGAACAGACCTGACGATCAATGCAACAGATTAGAAGATGCAAACAAAGCTACAAACACACTCAGCCACCTTATTTTTGACAAAGGGGCCAAACATGTTTACTGGAAGAAAGATAGCCTCTTTAATAAATGGTACTTGAAAAATTGGCTTTCCACATGCTGAAAACTAAAACTAGACCCATATCTACACCAGGCACTAAAGTAAAAATGGATCAAAGATCTAAACATCAAAACAGAAACATTAAATCTACTGGAAGAGAAAGTAGGTAAAACTCTTAAAGATATAGGGGCAGGCAGAGAGTTCATGAACAAAACCCAAATTGCACAGGAAATACTTCAAAAAATCAACAACTGAGATCTCATCTTGTTGAAAAGTTTTTGCACATCAGAAGAAATCACCAACAGAGTAAAAAGGAAACACAGAAATTGGGAAAAAAAAATTTAGCCAATCTGCCCCTCAGGCAAAGAACTGCTATCTAGAACATATAAAGAATTTGAGAAGACCCCCCCCCCCAAATTCAGACCCAATCCAAAAATGGGCATCTGAGATGAATACACACTTCTCAGATGAAGAAATACTAATGGTAAAGAAATACTAATGGTGAACAAATAGATGAAAAAATGTTCAACAACATTAGTCATTTGAGAATTGCAAATTAAAACAACACTGAGATTCCATCTCACTTGAGAAAGAATGGCTATCATTAAGAAATAAACCAGCGACAAATGCTGGAGAGGCTGTGGGGAGAAAGGAACACTTCTCCACTCCTTGTAGGTGTGTAGACTGGTGAAACCACTGTGGAAATCAGTTGGGAGATTCCTCACAAAACTAGGATTGGAAGTCCCATTTAACCCAGATATTCCCCTTCTGGGTATTGTCCCAGAAGAATTAAAGACATCATACCACTGCGATATATGTACACTCATGTTTATAGCAGGACCATTTGTTATAGCTAAATTTTGGAAGCAACCCAGATGCCCATCCACTGAGGAATGGATAAAAAAGATGTGGTATCTTTATACAATTGTGTATTACTCAGTATAAAAAAGATAAGCTTGAGGCTTTTATAAGTAAATGGATGCAACTAGAGACCATACTCATAGTGAAATAAATGGGACCCATATGTGTAAACATCACATTGTCTCCCTGGTTTAAGAACATGAGAGAGTAAGTAAAATCCAAAATGTACAATAGATAATAAGAAAGGGAAAGAGATTGCTCAAAGGAAGGACAACTGGGATGAGGGAAGGAAGAAAAAGAAAGTACTAAGTCTATATATGTGTATATATATATGTGTGTGTGTGTGTGTGTGTGTGTGTGTATGGTTTGGTGGCATTATGTACTGCTGGTGTCTGATGGTTTGTTAAGGGGACCAGTTAATGACTAAAAGGGTTTTTTTTTTTTTTATATTTTGAACAATTTTGCATGCTTATATCCGGTAATCTGAGCAATTTATGTGACAACAACAATTTGCAGTATAACAACCATTGGTGAATTCCTACAATCCTGTCTAGTGAAACTATGTATTGTCTCTAATGTTCTTTTAAATTATTATTTTCTTATTCCCTTTAATGACTTGATCAGTCTTAAATTCTTACATCTGGTAATCTGAGCAACTTTGTTGAAGATAACAATATGTAATATAACAACCACTGTTAATCACTATCATTTGGTTTGAAACCCCATATCATTTTTAATGTGCTTGCATTGTTTTGTTTGTATTTTGCTATTCTTCTTTCTTGGTACTATTTTCTTTAAAATAAAAATAAAAATAAAAAAATAGAGAAAATTTTCACGAAAAGACATAGCTAAGGATGTAGTGCAATTCCTATCCAAATAAGCCAACATGGTGGCTTAGTTAAAACCTTCTCAAAAAATATCAAGCCATGTGTGTAATCCTAACACTGTGTAATCCAAGAACTGTGTAATCTCACTACTCTGGGATGCTGAGGCAGGAGGATCACAATTTTAAATTCTGCCTGGGCCACACAGCATCTGAGTGAGATCTTGTTTTAAAATAAAAAATGATAGCCATGCGTGGTGGCACACACCTGTAATCTCAGCCCTCCTGCTGAGGCAGGAAGATTGAAGTGAGCTCAAGGCCAGCCTAGACTACATATGAAGACCGTCTCAAAACAAAAAAGCCAAAATGAAACTTGGCTAATGGGGTGAGTTGTAGGTCAGGGCAAGACTCTTGGTTCAAATCCCAGGACCATGAAATAATAAAAAATTAACACATTTAAAAGGAGCTGCTGATGACCAGGAGCTGCTGATGACCAGGCACTTATAATCCCATTGCTTAGGAGGCCGTGGCAGGGACATTGGTGTGAGTTAAATGCCATCCTGGCCCACAGAGTGAGTTCAACCCCCTCATTACTGTGGCAAGATTCTCCCTAAAAAAAAAATAACTCTAAAAAATAGAAATTTTATACCAGAAATCAAACTATTTTATATGAAAAAAAATGATATTTTGAGGCAAATCACTGTCTTTCATTTATTTACCAGAATCTACAAAAAAAGGCACATTCATGGCCCCCAGCGTCATGTGTGGGAGACTGTGGAGGGCAGAAGGGATGAGTGTCTTCCAGAGGGTGGTGACCTAGCAGAGGTGGATGGGGCTGGTCCAGTGCTCAGAGCTCGAGGCTTCATCTCCAGGCTTTGAGCTGTCAAGGTTTGACTTGGAATCTGTGAGTGCATTTTCTTCCCCAAGGAAGATCTCTTCCTACCATGAAGCACTGTCTCCTTCCTGACATTTCAGGGTCCATCCTCCGCCTCGTGCTCATAGGCCTGATTCTGCTTCTGCTTCCCTACCAACTGGCTCCACACAGGGGACCCTGGAGCATGGATGTGAGGCTGTCAGTTTCCAAAGGCTTGGTTTGCCTGGGGTTCCAGTAGCTGTCTCCAAAGACAGCTTCAAGACAGTGGGGAGACTCAGGAGATAGGGAAAGGGTAAGCTTGGATTCAGGATGCAATGCAAATAGGAGGGGCAGGTGAAGAGAAAACAGGGGACTCTACCTTGGCACTTAGGACCAGAAATAGAAGGTTCTTTGGACATTGTGCATCTCTGCCTTGTCACTCTTCACCACCTCATGGTACTGTGAGGACCGTGCTGTTTGTGGGGACACGGGGCTGGGCTTTGGCTGGGGGCTCTGTCATGCAACCAACAAATCGCCTGTTGCTGCAGCAGAGAACAATTAAGGTAGATGAGAGGAAAGCCAAGGGCAAGAGCTGTCCTACACTTTCCACGGATGGAAGAATGAGCAAAGGAATTTTTGGTGGAGAAAATCCTTGAATTTCCTGTACAGGGGACTGGCAATGGAAACTTCTCAGGGGAGTGGGAAGGAAATCTTTTATCAACACATGTCAGATATGTCCATTGATAGATGTTCTATAGACAGATAGATAAACAGATACAGAAATAGATACAGAGATATGGAGATATATGCACTAAGATTTTTATCATTTTTTTTTTCTTTTTCTTTGCTTTGTTTTGTTTTTAGAGACAGGGTGTTGCTACGAGAGCTGGGAGTCCAGAGCTCCTGCAGACAGAATCATTTTATGGGGTTTAGGCAGCCCCCTCCCACAGGTGACTTAGTGTGTTCATGCAGTGGAATTTGGGTTCAGATTGGTCTCCTGTTTGTGTCCAGGAGTACAGAATGCCACTGTGTTTGGATAGCGATTGAGTTCATGCTCTGGGCACAATGTTCT